GCCCTCAGTTAAACTGCCCGTCGCACAGGCTTGGTCTCAGTGGACAGACATATTTCCTCCAGGGCCATGGGTGGTGGTCGTGGGAGTGAGTGCCCTCAAGTGCCCCTCTTAGCCCAGGGCTGGTGCGGTAGAAGACGCTGCGTTTTTCTGGGAGTTGTGGCCGTGTGGGGGCTTCTGGGAGGAGCTGTGCTGCCCTGAGGCTGTGGGCTGAGGATGGAACAGGCGCTCGCCAGTCAGTCTGTCGAGGCAGAGCTCTGACAGACCCACGGTGTTCGGTGAATGCTGGTGGGACGGCTATATGGTTGTCGGAAGATACCTTGGGAGACTAAAATTTAGGCCCTAAACTGATCTCCACTTACTCCTGGCTCAGGAACATAAATTGGGCACTACACTAAGTTTTCCAGGCTTCTTAGTTTAGGTGCAGACTTTTAGCCTCAGCCTGCTATGGTACTTGTCGCTAACGCTGATTAAGACAGGGGTTCTTGCAGTGGTAGTGTCAGGGGAACCTTGGAATCCCCTCTGGCAGAAGGTTGGCCTCCCAACAGTTAGACCTCGCCTAACAGTTTATTTTGTTTCTCAGGTGGCTGACCCCGTTGTCACGTTTTGTGAGACGGTCGTGGAAACATCCTCCCTCAAGTGCTTTGCTGAAACTCCCAATAAGAAGTAAGCTGGGGGTCATGGTGACCCTGGGACTCACAGGGGTCGCTTTCCCCTGCCCCCAACTCTACCCCAATCACAAATAGAGGCCCCTAAGTCTTAGGATGAGGGTGCTTAGGATACTTGAGTTTTACCCCAGCCCTCTCATTATGCCTTTGGACATGATGCTGTGGAATTCTTTGCCTTAGTTACTCCCAGTGGTTTCGTAATTGCCACTTTTTCTCTCTGTATAATATGACCATCTTAAAATTTTCCCTAGCAGCAACTCTACTCTTTCACCGTTTAATAACTAATACTGTTTAAAGCTTTTTTTAAAAATGCCCCAAATTTTACTTTTTTAAAGAGTGATAGATTCAAATGTAAGATGAGCCCTTTTTGCTCTACTCTACTCCTGTGGCTTTCACTGATGTCGCTGCCTTAGCTCTTTCCTTTGTCACCCTTTCTTAGGAACAACCCTTCTGACCCTGCTCAGAACCCACTTCCTTTCTGACTAGAGGGTCAACCTGCTGACCCTCCTCATTACCCATTTCCTTTCTGACTAGGAACAAGATCACCATGATTGCTGAGCCTCTTGAGAAGGGTCTCGCTGAGGACATAGAGAACGAGGTGGTCCAGATCACGTGGAACAGGTGAGAATGTGGCTCTGATTCCAGGGCCGAACAGCTTACCTGATGAGTCTCTAGCACGACACATCCCTCCCTCTAGGAATTGATTTTGTCTCCACTGTCCTGGCACAGTGTAGGTAGGCTGAGGCGACTGTCATCCAGAAAAGCAGGATCTGTGGCCTCAGGAACGGGCAGTCACAGAACTGTCTGACATGACCATTTTCTCCTCCTCCCCCAGGAAGAAGCTGGGAGAGTTCTTCCAGACCAAGTACGATTGGGATCTGCTGGCTGCCCGTTCCATCTGGGCTTTTGGCCCTGATGCCACCGGCCCCAACATCCTGGTGGATGATACCCTGCCCTCTGAGGTACAGAAGAACTAATGGAAGCCCTGTGGCCTTCTCTTAGCTCTTGAGTGGAAGAAACTACAGAGTGTTCTTATTTTTCCCAAAAGTATTTTGTATCTTCTGGTGAAGAAGAGTGTCCTTTACTGCTGTACCTGCCTCCTTCTCCCTCTAAACTCTTCGGCTGTTGCCAGGGTCACTGCTCAGGGGCCCTCATGTTTTGTGCAGGTGGACAAGGCTCTTCTCGGCTCGGTGAAGGACAGCATCGTTCAAGGTTTCCAGTGGGGAACCAGGGAGGGGCCGCTCTGTGATGAGTGTAAGTCCACCAGCGCCGCTGCCTTTGCCACCCCAGGCCTCTAGGGTCCTTGCAGCTGGGTGTATGAGGTGGGGTGGGCTCATCTTTGGGACCCAGCAGAAGCAGCAGCTTGGGGCCCACAGGGCCTTCCCCTGTCCTGGGCCAGCTTCCTCCCTTCTCCTTCCCTATTCTGGTGCTACTGCTTGGTACATCTTAGAAATGGAAGTCACGTCTAGATTGACATTTGCTCCTCATTTCTGGAATGTGTTTCAAGAAGGGTATCGGGGGGATGGGATTGGAGTGGTTTATAGACCAGGACTGGGCTCAGTAGGGACACATGTGCCATTCCCGGAACTTACTCTACATCCCCAAATAATTAAATATCTGGAAAAGAAACACATAAACTTCTAGGGACACGGTATGCTGTCTGAACACGGCCTGAAACCGACACTGAGAACATATGCTTACCTTCACACCTCCGCATATGCTATTAGAACCCGCATCTGCAGGCTGATTCTGTACCATGTCTTTCATGGCTACAAGACAGCTGCAGTGCTGCAGGAGGCTCCCTGCTGCTCTGCCCGTGCGCCCTTGACTAGCACCAGAACCACTCAGCAGTCAGCTCCCCCTTCTCCTTTCCAGTGATTCGAAATGTCAAGTTTAAGATCCTGGATGCAGTGGTTGCCCAGGAGCCCCTGCACCGGGGCGGGGGCCAAATCATCCCCACGGCCAGAAGAGTCGTCTACTCTGCCTTCCTCATGGTGAGCGAGTAGGGCTGTCCTGCTGCAGGGCATTAAGTGGGGCCTCGAGGCTACTGTCCGCCAGCCTTCTCTTTACCCGGGGTCTCAGTCCTCAGCCTTCCGCAAGCTGAGGAACCCTTCCTTCCGGCTCTCTTGCAGGCCACCCCGCGTCTGATGGAGCCCTACTACTTTGTAGAGGTCCAGGCCCCCGCAGATTGCGTTTCTGCTGTTTATACCGTCCTGGCCAGGCGCAGGTGAGCCGCCCAGGCACGCAAGGGAGGGGGCAGCGAGCAAGCCACCCAGCAAGAGGGAACCTCGCGGTGGAAGACGAGGGACTGGACCCCACACTCTCCACTCCTGAAACCAAGGTTTTTAGAAGGAAGTAGGAAAGGAATGAGGCAATCCCCAGCCTTACCACAGATTATAATTTGAGATTTCTCCCTGGGCTCCCCCCTCAGAGAGCTTCTGCAGCAAGTATTCCTTGGGTGTGTCAGTGGTGGGAATGTCTACAGGTCCTTGCCTCGTCAATGTTGCACTGTTGCCCGGAGGTTGCTGCCCCTTTGACTTCCACAGGGAACTATGCCAAGAGCCGTTTCTGCCCTCTGTAGCACACTTGTGGCTATTCTTTCTTTGATGGTCAACACTTGGGGCTACACTGCTTCTCTGCTTTTGGCCTCTTCAGGACGAGGGACTCAGCCTTTGTTTTTCTGTCTCAGGGGGCATGTGACTCAGGATGCACCCATCCCAGGCTCCCCTCTCTACACCATCAAAGCTTTCATCCCCGCCATCGACTCTTTTGGCTTTGAGACAGATCTGCGGACTCACACGCAGGGGCAGGCCTTTTCCTTGTCTGTCTTCCACCATTGGCAGGTAAGAAAACAACGCAGGCTGGCCGCTGTGGTCCCCACCTCTGCAGGGCCATCGCCTCTGACTTGTTCCTCTCCAGGCCCCAAGGGGGATCGCCAGCATCCTAGTTAAGGGCCCTGTTTCTAGGCCGGATGCTCTGGGAGGTCAGCCTGGACCATCTGATGAAACCACTTTGCATTTCAGATTGTACCCGGTGATCCTCTGGACAAGAGCATTGTCATCCGTCCCTTGGAGCCGCAGCCAGCGCCCCACCTGGCCCGAGAATTCATGATCAAAACCCGTCGTAGGAAGGTATGTGTCCCTCAGACCCACGGCCATCCCTCTACCCCCAAGGGTCTTGCCAGGAGTTGGATCTCTCTTCATTTCTTGCTTTTGGAGCCTTCTCTCAAAGACTGAAAGCATTTCACAGCACAGCATGGAGAGTCACGATCTGTATAGGCTTCAGGCAATCAGACCCGGGGCCGCGTGCCTGGGAAGGGAGCGCCTTCCCCTGCCCTGGGACGGTACCCTAAAGGCAGGGCTCCCGAAGCAGCTCAGCTGACACTTGGCCCCCACCCGCTCCCTGCACTCAAGCACAGCTTGGTCACGCAGGGCTCATCCTTGCATTTGCCCCACTCTGCAGGGCCTGAGTGAAGACGTCAGCATCAGCAAGTTCTTCGATGATCCTATGTTGCTGGAGCTCGCCAAGCAGGATGTTGTGCTCAATTACCCCATGTGAGCGCCCAGACACCTGGCGGCTCCTGCTGCCTGCACGGGGCTACATTCGGGACTTCGAAGCTAGGACCTGGTGGGACTCGGACTCCGTGCTGTCAGAGCGTGTCTGGGACTGCTGTGGCCGCCCTTAACAAGCCCAGAGCCTCCAAGCCTCCAACCCAGATGGAGGAGCATTTGGCTTCCTGGTTCCTCCTGTGGCCTCTGCCTGGCTCCATTCCCAGAGAACAGAGAGGACCTTGGGCTCAGGGAAGGAGAAGGGGATGGAAGTGTTGAAGCCCAAGGGGGCCCTGTCCTCAGGATTTACGTGGATTTTTATTTTATTTTTTTTGTATAAAAGTTTGACCTTAGACATGGTTTATAAATGAACAGAACATTCTGACCTCTGCCTTGCTCCGTTCTTTTCATCCCCACCGCTCCGCCCCTTCCCTCCAGCACAGGCTCATCCTGGCACTTGGGTTCTGGATCTGTGTTGTCTCCCATGAGGCCGCACTGACTCTGCTCCCAGCTGCAGCCTTCTTCCTGCCTGGTCCCCAAGGAGGCGGCCTGTGGGGGGAGGAACGCCTGCCTCTTCACTCAGTGTTCCCACGAGCACTGGGGCCTCTTTACTGTCCCCAGCTCCCATTCCTGGTGGATGGCACCTGAGGGGGCTTGGGAGTTGTTGGGTCTCTGGGATCAGAGGGCTACACCTCTTCCTCTGCCCCTGAGGATTCTCCTTGCCCTGGAGCTGGGTGCCAGAACTCTTTGATTTCCAGCCCTTGGCTCTAAGTCCTCCTACCAGCCACTACCAGTCCCTTACTCTGCTCTCGTCTATGTGAAGAAGAGACTGTTGATTTGCCTCAAACTCCTTTATTAGGTGCATACCAGGGGTTGATCGAAGAGGTCTGACTGCCCCAGGCCTGTAGGAGTCCCACTTCTCCCCAGCATCCTGCGCGGTTCTCTTGACGTAGTCTCCGTACATCGTGTACACAGCACCTGTGTGAGGGAGAAGGGAAAAGGCCCCATGACGTCGCACCCTCCACCCATCCTCTGGCTCTCTCAGGTGTCCCAGAGTCCTGAGGGTCCGACACTAGCTGTCCCCTTGAGAGTCCAGCTTTGCTGCTTATCTTTCCGCCCTAGGTCACAACAGCTGCTACAAACACCTGGCCGCACAGCCTGGGGAAACATCCCATTTAACACTTGACAAAGTACTTTCACATATATTATCTGTCTGAGAAACCTCACGGCAGTACATGAGGGAGGCAAGCTGGGGTGGTTATCATCATGTCGCACGTGGGGAAACTGAGAGAAAGATTTGTCCGCTGTCGCACAGCTAGTGAGTAGCTGTCTGCCTTTTGATCCAGAGAGGAAAAGAAATTCAGCATAGGTTCTGCTGCATGGTTTTTCTCAATTCTAGGACAAACTCACGAAACAGACTGTGCATCTTCCCCTGGAACACAGGGAATTAAACAGGGAACCCTGAAACTGTCTCGGTATGAGGGCCTCACCAAGGACTTGCTGTGGAGCCTGGTATAGGGAACAGGGACTGAACTCATGGTCCCTTTAACTGTCAGGACTCAGCCAGATTTTGCCTAATCAGTTTTGCCCTCATTCTCCCATGACGCCACCAGCTACTTACCCAGCATGATCACACCCACAGCACAGGCCTGTGCTGCCACTCGGGTGTGAATCAGGTGTGTGGACATCTTGGTGGAACCACGAGGCTTCAGCTGGTAAATCCTGTATGCTGCCACAACCACGCAGCCTCCTAAGCCTACGTAGGCAGAGAACGTGACTCCTTGGACCTCAGTCACCAAGTACATCGCTCTCCTGGTGAAGAGACACCTCACTAGGCAGGCTGGGCACCTGGATAATCAGCTGCCTTCCTGCTGCTGCTTTGGGGCTGGCAGTGGGGTGGGGGACAGGCTATCATTAGAACATTGAGTTGTTTCTTCTCAAAGATATTTACAAAGTGCTTCCCTCCAATGACTCCCCTCCTCCCTGTACAAACAGGCCATCATCATGACTCTCCCACCCCCCCTTAGCTCTTCTCCAACTGCTGCCGGCCCCCACGGCTGTTCTAACCTCCCAGGGCCAGGGGGAAGGGAGCCCTGGGGGACCCCAAACTGCTCTGCCCATCCTGACGCTGGTGTTGGTATCCCATGCGCTTGGTTGGCTGCCACCTCCAGCCATCCAGCCATCCAGACTCCTTCGTTTCATCATCAGGATGTGTCCCTTAGTCCCTCGGCACCTTTGCTGTTGGTTCACTTCTCTTCTAGCTGTTGATGATTTGATGGGTAGGACCACTTGAGTTCTGCGTGTCATCCTTTGAAAGGACTAGGAGACATGCTCTCTGAGAGAAGGCCCCCTCCTCACCTCCCATTCCTTCGTCTCCCACTCACCTAAAGGCACCAGCAGAGACTCCCTGGTCTTCCTCAGGAGCTTCTCAGACATGCTGTCCTCACCCTCAGGTGGTGCCCACCAGCCTTTGTTAGCAGACATGATCCTGCACCAGATGTTAGCAGCTGGGGCTCCTAGGCTTCAAACCAGTCCTAGAAGGAGGCAGGAAGAACTCCAATTCCCAGTCAACGGTGGGAGGGAAGAAGTGGACTGCTGAGACCTCTCTTACCATGCCCAGCACAGACACTACTTAAAAACGTGTCCTGGGTGTCCTGTCTCAGATGGCTGGAGCCATTTCTCCGTCTCTTCCTCCCAATATCTGCCTCTTGCCCAGATCATTCCAGCTTCACTGTTTTCTCTGCCTCCCCCTCTACCATCTGTGTCCCTACGGGTGTGATCCTTAGGCCAAGAAAAGCAGCTGGAAAAATCCACAGATGAGGGTGGGAGGAACAGGCCTTTAACCTTGGGTCCCCCACTGGCCTTGAGTCTGTGATGGTTGTCCCTGATGGAGCTGCAGAGGAAGATCTGGCCCCAGGCAGCCAGAGCCATCCCAGACAGTGTTACAGCACTGGTTACCGCATCACCAGAGCCAGAGATTGAAATGATTAGGCATGGATCTGTGCATAATTTTGTGTAGATTTTGGATGTTAAGGCTAATGGAACAAATTCTGGCCCATGAGCTGTTCCCCGTCTCTAAGTCCATCTCTTGACAGGTTCTTTGCAGGTACCAACCCCCTGCCTTATCCCTGCGCTGGAACCCCTATGGCTCTAATTGCTAACCCTGTAAATGTCTGCTCTGATCAAAAACTAGATGGAGTCCCAGAGTCCTGGTCCTTAGACCAGGGGTTCTGCCTGCCGGTTGCCTTCTAAGTCTAACCACGAGACAAAGTCCCTGCTTGAGGTGACTTCTATTCCTAGTTGCCTCTCCTCTCCTGGAGGAGCAAAGACTGCTGGCCCCACAGGTCCTCAGCACGCCGGTGCTTACCCTAGGAGACGGCTAGAAAGTGGAGTGCAAGCAGCCCAGCCAGGGCTCAGCGTCTGCTGTTTTGAATCGGCCAAGAGCTGATGATGGAGCTGCAACTATGGGGGCAGGGAAGCAGTGTCTGGCTTTATGGAGACTTTGAAGTCAGGAATGGAGAGGGGAGGAGATAGGACAGGGCATCAATCTTAACCCCCCATCTGCTGAGTTCCAGGCTGGAGCTCCAAGCACTGGAAAGTAATGAAAGATCAGATGGAGGGGAGCCCTTACCTCAATTCAGTCTTTTCATTCCTCTGGACGTAAGTGGCTGGATCAGAGATGGACTTGATTTGGAGAACTGAGATGGGAATATAGAGGCAAGGATGGGTAGAGATCCTGGGTTCTCCCGCAAGTTGTACTGCCTTAAGTGTGCCTTAATTGTGAGAGACGGGCTGTCTGGTCTTGGTCTTGATCCTTCCAAGGATGTTTTCTGGGCCAAAGAGATTTGTCCAGGAGTTTGAAACAACTGGGACTTCCCTCACATCTCCAGACCCCTTCATACTGCCTGTGGGGTGATGCTCACTCAGGATACAGAGATGACAACGACCGGCATTAGCACCTATTCTATTTCAAGTATTTATATTTCAGACCTTTCCACTATTCTACACAGTAAGTAGCAGCTTGTTCATAGACCAGGAACTGAGCTTCTGAGAGGCTAAATGAATTATCCACAAGTACACAGCTAGTAAATGGCAGTGTCACGATCTGAACCTAGGTCTGGCTGGCTCCAAAGTAGCTTCTTGCTAAGAAATGGAGAAAGATCGGATGCACTGTGGAGAGTCCCACTCCATCCCATGCCTTTGTTCCTCTCCTAGCCCGTGTGTCTGTCCTAAAGGGGCTTTTCAGCCCTGGAAATGTGTCCAGCAGCTGATGTCTCTCTTTTCTCTCCCGAGCCCTCACTGCTTCGGGGAGAGACCCAGGGTCACAGCATCTCCCCAGGGCTTCCGCATATCCCCAGCGTCCATGGGAACTCTCCTCGCAGTCATTCACACACACTCCTGTGCTGCCTCTCCTGGTCCCAGCAGTGGCCTGAATTCTCCAGAGATCAATGCTCTAGGCCACAAGTGGGAGGATGGAAATGACTGGATGAGACAGTGCAAGAATCAGGATCAACTCCAAGCCCTTTCGAGAATGGAGGCCAAGCTATGGAGAGCGAAGTTCAACTTCCCCCCGTTGAGATGATGTCGATGCTCTCACAGCATCTCAGCCCAGAACCAAGAAAATAATAGTTGCTATGATCTTCTGAGCACCTGTGAGCCTAGAAATGTGCTAATTGCTTTAAGTAGGTTGTTTTATTTAATCCTCACAACTATTATTCTATTAGGTAGGTGGTAGGTACTATTATTTTTATTCCTATTTCAAAGATGAAAAACTGAGGCTTGAGTTAAACATCTTGCTCAAGGTCACAGAAAGTGACAGAGAAAAAAGGACCAGATTTCTAACCATTCCTAAAGTCAAATCTCACTACTCTGGACTAACAGGAGAATGACTGTAAAGTGGGGGGAAAGTCTTGAAATAGAAGAAACAAAATTGCTTTTTATTTCAAGAACCTCTGAGAACACACAGTAATTAAAACTTCAAGGATCAGATTTCTGTAGAGTCCTGTTTTAGTAAACAGATAAGATAAAATTATGATAACACTTTTGTTTAATATGCCAAGTCTTTAATAATTACTTTGATTTAAGCCTTTCTACATTAGTAATTTGCTTAATAAACCTCTTCCAGATCAGGTCACACTAATAGAAATTCTATTAGAGGGGTCTAATTGAGTGATGCAGACAGACTTAATGGATCCGGAGGGCAGGCCAGAGTCAGATGGGGGGTCAGCTGCTTGACCAACCACTCTCTGAATACTTGGTCTTATGCCACTCAACCTCTTATGAGTGTGTGTCATCATCTGTAAAATGGAGGTAGCATCTACCTATAGGATCGTTGTAAGGGTTAAATAAGATGATTGTTAGAATTTCCCTGCACGCTGCCTGCTTCTCTTCCTCCAGAATGAGCAAGTGGCAGGGATGGGTAACTGGCTGGGGGAGAAGTGGAAAGTCCCTGACAACAGATGGGAAGGTTCCCATGTTCTGGGTGGTCCTGAATTCACACACTCTCATCCCTCTCCAACCCCACCTCCTCCTTGTTGGAGGGGCTTCCCTGCCTAACTGGAAGCCTCAGGCTTGTTCTCCTTATTGTGTGGGGGGAAGGGAATGGGGAGGGGAGGGGGACTTGGACTTGAGGCTGTACACAATCTAAGACACAGCTGTGCTATATATAGCCTGAGGGAGCCGAGTGACAAGAGGGGGGAGGTGAGGGACGTGCAGCTTTTGCCTTGAGCTAAGGAGTGCTGTGAGTGAGGGGATGATGATGAATGAACTGGACAAGGAACAGAGGATGCTCTGAGGTGGGGTTGGAATGGGAAGGACCCAGGCTGAAGGGCTGGGGTAATCACAGGGGAGAAAACATTGGGCCATAGAGTAGTATCTGGGGGACCTGAGGGGCAAAGAGGGGGTAGCAGGAACAGGCAGAGGCAGTGGAAGTTTCCAGATGATGTGGCTAGGCTGAGGCAGCCTCTAGAGGGTGCCTGGGGTGGGGAGGGTGGGACACCCCCTCTCCTTCTATAAACGGGCACTGGGTTCCAAGGACCTCGCAGTATTTGTCCAAGGACAGCCTCAAGAGCCACAGGCTTGGGCCAGGACGGTGCCTTTGGTACCCACTAATCATTCTGGAGGGACTGCTCACATGTTTTTAAAGATTCTAAGAGGGTGTGGATAATAATAGCAATTGGAAGGCTGAATCAGACTGTAGCGATGCTGACACAGAATCATGTCTTGCGAAGGAATAATTTTGAGCTGCAGAAGACACCAGTATAGACCCCTGTACTAACAAATGGTTGCTCCAGAGGAGTTGAAATGTTTTGCTGAAGTTCTTGTGTTGGGTGCTTTTGAATATCCAAATTACCCAAAGCGCACTATGGGAGGACACTAATGTCTGCAGAGCCTACAAGATTTAGGGTACTTCACATATTTAATCTTCGCAACAGCCCCAACTGGTAGATATCATTATCCCCATTTTACAGATGAGGAAACCGAGGCTGAGAGATGTTAAGTAACAGCCATATCACACAGCAGGTAAATGGCTGCACTACCCAGCCAATAATGATAACCACTACAGGGAATTCCCTGGTGGTCCAGTGGTTAGGACTCCATGCTCTCACTGCCAAGGGCCTGGGGTCGATCCCTGGTCGGGGAACTAAGATCCTGCATGCTGCATGGTGAGGCCAAAAAAAAGAAAAAGAAAAAAATGATAACCACTATAGACCACTTTACAATGAAAAATTAACATATGACAATGTGATTTCCTGTACATTTCATCACATTCTCACACCATCTTAGAAATACACATAAATGAATGCACACAGCTGGGCAGAGCAGACCTCTGAATCCAGGGCTTCCAGACACTCAAGGACTGCACACCCACCGCACTGCCTCTCACCAAGGCAGGGTAGGTCCTGAGCCAGCGCACTGTGTTCTTTTTTTTTTTTAATTTTTATTGGTGTATGGTTGCTTTACAATGTTGTGTTAGTTTATACTGTACAGCAAAGTGAATCAGCTTTACGTATACACATATCCCCTCTGTTTTGGATTTCCTTCCCATTTAGGTCACCACAGAGCACTGAGTAGAGTTTCCTGTGCTACACAGTAGGTTCTCATTAGTTATGTACTTTATACATAGTATCAATAGTGTATATATGTCAGTCCCAGTCTCCCAATTCATCCCTCCCCCCGCACTGTGTTCTGAGCGTGTCCAAAAGTCCTTGTTTGTGGGTGGTACCAGAGGAGGTCTCTTCATCTCCCATACCCTTCTCCCCACCCCTAATTCCTGAGTATATTTCACCTACCCTTCATGTGCAAGTAAATTACCTTAACTTGAAATCCAGCATTAAATACACAAGAAACAGCTAGCTGGGCTCTGGGAAACACTGGGGGGAGTCATCTTACTGTTCCTTCTATACTACTTGCATTACCTATTCCAAAAAATCTGCTTCAAACAACATCCCTGTGGCAGGGAGGAGCAGTATAATGTGTCTCACAGGTTAACTGAAACTGCTGGGGATGATGGGGGCAGGGGGTTGTGCTACAAACACCCCCCGCCCAATAGCACAAGTAATCAAGGACTTCTTATCCAGCCAGTCTGGGGCAAGCAGGGCTTCCTGTTGCCAACCGGGAGCTTTCCCAAATCCTACCTCTCTGGGCCTCTGCTCCCATCCCCCTGGACAGAAGAATCTGCTCCGAGTTTACCAGCCAAGTGGGGACCCTGGAAAATGTGTAATGGAAAGAGAG